GGGGTGGGGGGGAGGGGCGCTCCTAGCAATTCTGTACAGTGGTGGCGAACCTATGACACGCTTGTCAGAGGTGACATGCAAACTCATTTTTGTGGTTGATTTTTCTTTGTTAAATGGCATTTAAATATATAAAATAAATATCAAAAATAGACATCTTTGTTTTACCATGGTTGCAAATATCAAAAATTTCTGTATGTGACACAGCACCAGAGTTAAGTTAGGGTTTTTCAAAATGCTGACACGCCGAGCTCAAAAGGTTTGCCATCACTGTTCTAGACTATGCTAATCATGAGAAAGAGATTTTACGAATATACTAAAATGTTAATATTTCCGTTTCCAAGATTTGAGAATTTTACATCAGATTGTTACTTCTAACTCATTTTTAAGGTTCCCAAGTATCCATTTTATTCTGAACTCGTAAATGTAATAAATTATGTGTTCTAAAATGATGCTGTCGTGTATTTTAATATGTAACTAGTGATTCTGTTTCTCACTGACATGATTTCCAGGATTTATCGAATGCTGACGATAAGGGTTTGGGAGGTGTGGGGGGTTTTGATCAGATGGACTTGGTTCTGAGGCTGTGCCGCGTGGGCTCTTGGGACTGCGGACTTTGCTGCTGTTCTCGCTCCTGGTGGGAATGGGGCAGACAGGTGTGCTCTGGACAGCAAGCTGGGAGACCTGCGTGGTTCAAATAAAAGATAGCGCCTTGAGTTGGAGGTGACACGGAAACGTTTGTGTGTTGATATTCAGCCAGCAGTGGGAAGTTTAGGGCTGATGCAGATGAGCCAGGATGTTGTGGGGTCTTTGGCTGGCGCTGAGAGTTGAGGCTGTGGCGCAGAGCTGGCCCTGGGCCTTGCGTGCTGGGCTGGCTCCCCCTCACCCCTCCTCTCTTGCCCTCTCCCTGACATTGCCTTTTCCTTCCATCACCACGTCCTCCTCTCCCCACACAGGGCTGTGTTCACACCTCGACGTGTGCACATTCTTCAGCTGCCACTCAGTCTAGGTGAGGGCTGCCGTGTTGCTCGCAGAGTGTGCTATAGGGTTTCTCCACGGCGCTTACCAGGATTTGTCACTAACTCTGAGCTTTTCCTTTAAGGTCCTCTCTACCCCAGCAGCCGCAGGCTCTGCGAGAGGAGGACTTGCGTCTCTGTAACCTTAGCCCTCAACAGAGTTCCTAGTATTTAGTGCTTGTTCCTTTTAAAGCCCTTTAAGCCCTTTAATATGGCATCATGGAAATTTTCATTATTTTCACCCTTTTTTGAAAGAATAAAAAAGTCATTAGAGCATAATGTGATATATAAGGAAATCTGTTAGCACTTACATCTGTGAAGATTAATAACATGAGACTAGCATCTCCTTTCATCTTGAACAATGGTTCTCAACCTTGGCTGCACATTAGAATCGCCTGGGAATTTTTTTAAATTCCTGATTTCTGGGCCTCATTCTCCGGAAATTCTGTTTCTTTGTTATGGGGTGAGGCCACAACATTAGTAACAAAGAAACAGAATTTCCGGAGGATAAGGCCCAGCAATCAGGATTTTAAAAAGATTCCCAGGTGATTCTAATTTGCAGCCAAGGTTGAGAACCACTGATCTAGAAAGAGGAGAGAAGCTATAATCACGTTTCTATAAATAACTAAAAGCATCCATGGAGACTCCATCCCTGGGTCTACAGTAAACATGCTGATCTGTATTAATGATGCCTGTTTATTGAGCACCTATCACACATACATAGGCATTGCGCTAACATTTTGCATTTGTTAGCTCATAGAATACAACACCCCTGTGAGGGGGACATTATTCCATTTCCTAAGATAGAAGGTATGACGGAAGTTAACCAACTTGCTCTGGGTCAAAAGCAGGAAAGTGGCTCTGAGGTTTCACCCCCGGCCTCTCCCACACCAGACGCCTTCTACTCGTCATGCGGCGTCTCCGGGGCCACAGAAGCCACACCTTTGACCTCTCTCCTATTTGCCGACAGGGACTGAGCAGTCACCTTTCCCATTCTCTGATGCCCTGGGATGGAGTTCACTTGGGCCCCATCCTGGACTTCATGTAACTTCTACCAGTACCCTCCACACTGGTATTACTCATTACCCATTAGTGTGTCCTTCTCGGTTGAAGGGTCATGTTCTTGATGGGAAATACAGGTGCAGAGAAGAAAAGCAGCCTAATCCTAATGTAAATTATGATTTGAAAAATTCTACTTCCACTTTTTCATTCACCAACCCTATTATAACAACTCTGAACTGTGAGCCCTTTTTATCTCCTTTTTACCTTTTCTGATTAAGCCAAAATGCCCTTTTGGTCATCTAATATGCATTACAGAGAAAACTTGGTATAAGAAAAGCAACTTCATATATAGTGGGATTTGGTAGTTTTTTTCTGTAATGGGTGGTAAAAAATGCACCAAAAAACTATGAAGCGATGAACGATGGATGTGGACAACACGGGGTGAGGGTGAGGGAAGGATTGGGGGGATGAGAGGACATTGGGGGGATAAGGACACATTTGTAATATCTTAATAAAGGGGGGGGAACTATGAAGTGTCTACCAGAAATCATAAATATGTTAAATCTGGTTTAGCAATTGTAAAGTGGTTGGTATAATATTGTATGATTTCCTGTGTCAAAATTTGGGACTTGGGACTAGTAGAGGCAAAGATATGATCACAAGCATCTGATATGAAAAAAAGTTCAGCAGTTCAAACAGTGAAGCTGGCACGGGGCCGAAAGGCGCAAGAAAAGAAGGAACTCGCCCCTGAGGCTGCTGCATGGGGAGGAAAAGCCACACGGGTGGTAATCCTGGGTTAGAGCCTTCTGCCAGGTGAGTGGGTAAAATAGCCATAACGAATCCATAGTTATAAATGTGCTACTTAAAATCCAGCCAGATATAAGCCAAGTAGTAATGAGAATATCAAGATACATTAGTGTTAATTAGGAATGACAGTACTTTTTACAAAAATCTTTGCTATTTAATTTGATAAAAATTGTTTATCTTGGCTATTTAATTTGACAAATAAGTCATTGCTTGGCTTATTTGAAAAATTAACTGGATTTGTTATACCTTCTATTACAAAAATACTGATTTGAAGGTTTGACATAGCATCAATTTAAAGTTTTTAATGCTTAGTCCTAATTCTAGATTCATCATCAAGAAACTGTGTGACTCTAAATAACTTTAACTTTCCAGGAAGGTGTTGGGATATAGAGAATTGTTACTGAGTTTCTGATAGCAATGCTCTTTTTTTTTGCTCATATATGTATATGTTCTATTGAAAATGTGTATGTGTGCTCGCTACATAAATGTACATGACGCTACAGAAACTAATTCCATTCTCCCTAGTACAGCGGTTCTCAACCTGTGGGTCGCAACCCCTTGGGGGTCAAACGACCCTTTCACAGGGGTCGCCTAAGACCATTGGAAAACACATATAATTTTTTTAATATATTTTTTATTGATTAAGATATAACATGTGTGTCCCTGTCCCCACATCACCCTCCACCCACCCCACCCCCCCAATGTCCGTGTCCATTGGTTAGGCCTCTATGC